AATATATTGAATATATTGTTGTGAAATGTATTGTGTTTAATACAAAATCGAATTTGTTGTCAAATGTATTGAACAAATTTCAATAATGTATGTAAGAAAAAGTAAATCTCAATACATTTCAAACTACAAGATGTTACAGATTTTCAGACTTCAACGCAGAATACTTTGTATTAATACAAAATCACATAATTTAGATAGAGTCAACAAAATGTTTCAGGAGTTTCAGGCGAAAAACATTTTTCGAATGTGAAAAAATTCGAAGTTCAAAAGGGAGTTGATTCCAACAACGAGCTACTCTTACAGCAAAAGATTTTTCAAATAAGTTGTTTCGTATCGTATGTATAATAACCTGAGTATTCCGGCTAGAACGAGGAAAACTAAATCCAGACGGCAGTCCGCTTTAATCACCTTAAAGAACATCAACAAATTTCGAAGAGATATAAAGTACAAAGTACCGTATAATTTATATAGACTAACCGAAAATATTGGTTAACATAACTCCAAATGGTATTGAAAAATTCGATTATAGTAATGGAATCATTGTATTTAAAATTTTTTTTATTTTCGTTTTTTAAATAACATTTTTATATAACATTTGACAAGAATTTTACCCAGGAAAATATTATGTGCTTGTGAACGTACTCCAATCTTTTCCAGCTTCAAACTTTTCTTGAAATTAAAAAGTATCCATACTTCATGGATGGATGGAATATATGAATTTATTTCCAATGGTATCCAATTGCAAACTAGCCTTTTATGTGACTGATGAAATGTAGCTAAAGGAAAAATCAGCAAATATGTTACATTAAAATGCATTTTGAATATATTGTACAAATATTTTATATAAATTGTTTAAATTTTATAAATTTTATTTTTGTTATTTTTATTTTGAAAATGTCAAATCATTATTAAAAATTTGATTCGATTGAGACAAAAGTATTTAGTGTTGCTGTATCCGAATATTACAGTTGTCTACAATACATTGATGGTTACAGTAACTGAAATATACTCATAACAGATATTTTGATTGTAGTAATCGAAATGTTAGTTATTAAAACATATCTTTTTAAAATCAAGTTGATTGTCTCTACTGATTTATCCAAGTAGTATAACAACAGCACATATTGATTAAGAACACTTTCTTTTATAGATATGAATTTTTAATTGTAAATATATAAATTTTTTAATAATCGCAATTAAAATTCGGAATATATTACTAGAGTCCGACCGAACTCAAAATTTCGTTCGGTACCGAACACCGAAACTGAACTTCGGTAAATAATAAAGTTCGGCCGAACCCGAAAAATATTTCATCATGATATTTTTGTATTTATCATAATATTGTTATACATGATATTATGATCCAATGTGATCAAAATTTCGTTTTAAATATGTATCGAAATCAAAATGAATTTTATCGAATCCGTAAAATACGTTTTTAAAAAAATAAAAAATATATATACAATACTTAACACAATTCGCAAATTTCAATTTGCCAATTTATATGAAATTTTGGTTCATAAAAAAATTTAAGTATAATTTCATATTTATTTTTAAGCCTGTTATGAACGTTAGTAATTTTCTAAAGCGAACATTATATGGAGGCCATGTCCAAATGTAAACCGATTTTGTCCATTTTGAATACCAATCAAACTGCAACAATAGTTTAGGTCCTACCGTTCATTCAAGAGACTGACTGACAGACATGTCTAGATCGTTTGAGAATAAGAACCTAGAAAATTTCGATGTTACAAATGAAATCAAAGATTTATAATCGAAACTAGATAATTCCCCAGCAAAAAATAATTGATGTCATACTTTACAAACTACATCTTAATCACATCTTAAAATGCGATTTCATATTTTTCACTTTTATAAACCAAATATTTCCTTACAAATGACACCCCAGTTAAAAGTGAGGAAAGAGATGTGGAAAAGTCATTACAAATAACATATTTGAAGTACATCAAGATTTGGTGAAAGAGTTGTGAAATTTACATAAACGTGTCATTAAGAGAATGTGTTTTATTTTTACATCCAAATATCGGATTTTTACTGCTTCTAAAAATAAGATCAGATGTAGTTCAAACCTGCCAAAAATGAACAACATCCCTCCAATGACACGCTAATGTAAAATTCATAGGTTTTACACCCGAATTTGAAGCACTTCGGGTTACTAGTTGTGATGAAAATTCTACATCTTTTTCCACACTTTTTTTGCTGGGTCAAATTAAATGTTTCACTTTTCTTAGCTTTTTAATCAGTTTCTGGTTAACAGTTTTTCAAATCTGCCGAAAAAACGAAGATTTTCAGCATTTTTAAAACTTTTTGATGATATAAAAATATAATGAAAAAAAAACATTTTTTAAACCGTTCGGCGTTCGGTGTTCGGTCAAAATTTCGCCGAACACCTCACATTGACCGAACCTCACATTATACCGAACTCCGAACCCGTACCCGAACGTTCAGTCGGACACTACATATTACTAATTTACTGTATTAGTAACCAATTTCCAACTCTTCTTTTTTCTGTGTGTAAAAATGATCTTATATAACCAGAGATATGCATACGTCTCCGAACATTATAAACGTAACGAACAATTATATTCACAATTCGATTTAAACTTAATATATTATATGACATGATACCAGAAAAAACCTCTAGCCCATAACAAACATGTGGCATTAAAAGTGCATAGGCCAATTTACGTTTGATAGTATAGGTCAGATATATATTGCACGAATAAAAACTCCTCAAAATCCCAACAATTTTACCATGTAAATAGTTTATATGAAAAGAAAAATTAAGTTGGTCATCAACATACACCCCCAACATCCAAATATATTAACAAATTCAATTGTCGATTCACCAACAGATACAGTTAATCACAAAAATAAGTATACAGAAATACTGACGATTGGATTTATTAAAAAAAAGATATTATTTCTTCAAAAAACAAAAAAGTGACACATTTATTTATTAAAAACAATTATGATAATTATTATTTACTACTTTTTTTATTCATATTTTGGTTCTTTGAGTTCTCATTTAAGCTGAAGTTAAAAAGGTGCAAAATTTACGTCACAAAAGTAAGTATACAGATCATTTCAGTATATATTTGGTTTAATGATATTAACAAAATTTATGAAAATTTTACTTGTATTAATATAATTACTTTTTAATAAAATATTTTTTTTCCGAAATCTTGAAATTTGGGCCGATTGGCTCCGGAATTAATTAGTAGAACAGTTTTTTCTCATTTCTACGATTTTTTTACACTTTAGACACCGGATTTTGGATCTGGTGGTCATTGAACCCTCCAAATGATGCATTGGAAATAGAATTTTTAACTTTTGAAAAGAGTTGTTATTTCGAAATTAATGTTATGTGCATGGATTTGGCTATTTTGAACACAGTACGTTCTTAAAAAACCGAAGCTTAACTCCGATTTCTTAAGACTTATAACATAAACTTTAAAATTTTGATAATTCTACATATTTCCTTTAATTTAAACAGGTTTTCGAAATACTCCGATTTCCAAAGCATACAATAATGCTACCAATCATATCTTGATATAGTCGATACAATAACCATGTTTTATGGATCCGACATTTTATTTGTTCTAGCAACAAATTAAGATGTATCCGTGTTCAAAATTGTTTAATTCGTATTCATACCACCAATTGAGCCTGATTTAATGTAAAAATCTTACTATTTTGGACAATAATCAATTTCAGAACCGATATGTAGTGTAAGTTATTGATATGGTCACCATTTGACGATTATTGGTAGTATTTAGGAGTGTGTAATGGATGATTGGAACCAAAAAACTTGTTTTAATTAATGGATACTAGTACAAATATTATTAATATCGCATTTTAAGATATATATTTTAGGAAATCGCCGTTAAATATCGAATATGAACGCTATAATATGTTAAAAACGGCAATGTTCCGCAATGGATTGCAATTATTGTAAAGAAACAAATAATTTAAAAGTTAAAATATCGTCTTCTAATGTATCATAATGAACAAACGAAGGATATTATTGAATACCCGATCCAAAACTCCGGGGTTTTAAATAGTCAGATGTTCTTAAATAGGAAAAAATGCTCCTATAAATAATATTCAGATCAATTACCAAAAACTTAAATTTTTCGGAACAAAAAGTGAATTTTTTCCATGTTATAGTGTACAGAATATTTTATTATAAAATAGTTACATTCAAACAGGTAAAATTTTCATGAATTTTGTTAATATTATTAACTATTTAACTACACCTTAAATGAGAACTCAAGTAACCAAAATAACCCGGAAAAAAGTAGTAAATAATAATTATCATAATTGTTTTTAATAAATAAATGTGTTACTTTTTTGATTTTTGAAAAAATAATATCCTTTTTTAAATAAAACCAATTGTTAGTATTTCTGTATACTTATTTTTGAGATTAACTGTCTATCAAGATTACTAACAGAACTACCAAACATCATAGCCTTTGACTTTGAAGAATTAATCTTGAGTAAATTATTCTTTGCCCATAGCTCAACTTGATCAATGGAATAGTTTGTAATCGATTGCAGTACATCTTTATTATCACGGTTAGAACTAAAAAGAAGAAAAATATCATACGCAAATAAAAATGGTCTACATTTGTGTCAATATGTTCAGCAAGATCATTCACATAAAGTGAAAACAGCGAAGGTCCCAAGACCGACCCCTGAGGCACACTAGAATCTTGTTAAGTCAAGCGATATCAAAGTATACATCTCCCTATTATTAACATTCTTACGAACAGTATCAGTTAAATTAAGCAACAATGAAGTTGTGTTATGACCACTACGAAAAGCATACTGCGAAGGACTGATTTTGCTATTAACAAGAGAATGCATTTGAACTTTTACAACATGCTCAACTATCTTGAACAAAACTGGAAGTATAGCATATAATAAAAATAGCAATAAATAAACACCCACAGCCCTGGATTTGACTTTACATACTGCTAGAACTCATCCGCATTAATACATCTAAAAGAGAAAGAACCAATATCATCATTAAACAAGTTAAAATTAGGATAATTAAAATTCGATGAGCTCGAACTATTAACAAAATACCTATTAATATCATTAACATCAGCTTCAGTACTGAAAGGTTTACAACCATAAAAGCCCCCTTTCTTCAAAACACTCCATAATGTAGATGCATCTAACCCTGAATACAATTTAGTGTAAAATTAATGTTCTTTTGATCTAGATAACCAAAAGTTTAGGAAAGCCAAGTCCCTTAGTGGCTTAGCTAACAAAATGCTCTCACTCTTCATCTACTTATCACAATCATTACATAATTTGTCCTTAACAACAGGAACAAACATGTATAGCTCACTAATCAACGAAGAAGAGAGCATTGATGTTCAATTATGGTTGATCCAAAAAAGGAAACTGTGTCAAATTCAGCTAAAATCGAATGTAGAATATTCCAATTGATACCCAGGAAAAACTCACATTGAAAAGTAATGAGTTAAAAAGCTAATAAAACCTCTTTTCAGTACTTCTTCATTAGCATTTAAAGTCATTATTTTAACACGGTGATGTCATTGGAGGCAAGTACTTCTACGCTCGCTTACAAATATTGAGTTAAAGAAGTACTTGCAATTTCTCTTACAAAACGGTTGTTGAGTAAGTTATTTTGTTTTTTAATGATAAAAAGAGCCAGCTAGAATACGAACCAGGGACTTCGGTTTATTAGTCAAATGTTCTACTCACTGCACCACTGCTTAGCTATTTTATTGCGCAATTAAATAAAATGTGCAAACAAAATGACAATGCCAAAAATAAAGTACTTCTATGTCAGATTATAAAAAAGTCATTACTAGAGTAATTCTAATTAATGCAGACGGCAAGTAGTAGTCATTGAAAAGTAAGTGGTTATAGAAGTACAACCCATTACCGAGTTTTTGCTCGGTAATATTCCTGAAAAGAATTAACTTTCAAACTAAATGCAGCACATATCAACGAGTGATGCGATATGGACGGGACTTGTCCCTGGTCAACAAATTCAATCATTTCAGGATCACTCACCAACATCAAAGTACGTCACACAGCAGTTTCACAGCTAAGTTCTGAAACCTTCAAAACAACACAGTCAGTCAGCAACATAAACTCCAACACCACCACCTCGATTAACTAATCGGCCATTCCTAATTAGCTTGTAGACATGAATACTTATTGAAGCATCGGCAACATGTGGCTTAAGCCAAGTTTCTGACATACCAATCAAGTCAAAATTCCCACCACAAATACTTTTAATTTCATCAAACTTGACAGAGTTATTAGAAGGCCGAGAACTTTGGCAATTAATATGGGCTGTTTTAAGTTGATTAGAATATTTCTTTAATGCACTCTTAAGAGAAGTGCCGCTACTTATAATCAGACCAATATTGGCGCAAAAGGTAGACATTATTAATCAAAATTAAATTATTTGTTATTTTTCTAAGAAATATTAACAATTACATTAATAAACGTTTTGCAAAATATTATATACAACTTAAAATTTTTTATCCATTTTAATTTTAAAAATTTTATTATTTAAAACTCGGGGGAGTTTTCCAGTTTTTCCTACCGAGCGCGTCCGCGGTTGGCGGATAGGGGGTGGTTATCTGTCTGGAAAAAACAATCATGGAAAATAAAAAGATAAAAGTTACGGTGCAGGGCCTAAATAACCCAGTACCGGCGGCAAGTGTTGATCTACTCGGGAGTCACCTGCGTCAAGTGTACAGCATACCATTGGCAAAAACATGGGGGTAAAATAGAAGGATGTACTCGGAGAAAGCTCTAAGCTACCTCAGCCTTTAAATATAGGCGAGGACTCCGACTCTGAATCCTCAGATGATAATAACAACACCATTATAGCAAATCCCAAAAAGGATGAAGTAGAGCAAATGGTGAAACAGGAGAGTGATAGCATAGCTAAACTAAACCCATTACCAAGAAAAGACTATCTGGAGGACAGAGGAGGAAGTTGAAAAAGGTGCTTCAGGAAATCATAGTTAGTCAATCCAACGACACTCAAAAGGAAAAATTTTACTCACAAGATCTGAGGCAAAAAGGATCAGGTCTCCCGAAGAGTTGACAACTGAGAATAAACCTAAGAAAGAAAAAGAGCTCCCCGTCTTAATACACAGTCGAAGCCAAGCCATGCTTCACTCAAAGGAATCTCAAGTCAGAATCCTGCGAGTAAGGGTGACAACGCCAAGATAGCTTTTCCGAAGACGACCAAGTCGGCGAAATCAATTTCTTCTTAAAAGAAGCCCCGAACGGGTATCTCAAAAAAGCCTCTCTAGACAATGGAAAACGAAAAGAGCCATGCCAAAGTAGCCAGAAGAAGACAACGGGATGATGTTGATGAGGTTGGCATCTCACCAATGTCCTCTCTGGGACAGCGCTAAGCTGGGACTGGCAAAGAAGAGCGAGTTTCCGGTTCTCTTAAAGTCCACTGTCTAAATAAAAGGATGGGGCAGTAAACTGGCTAATGAACGTATACTGGAAATTCTTGGTGGTCAAATGCTGAGCTGGCCGTGGATAAATGGAATGTCTTTTACAGGAAAGAAGAACCTGAGGGAACTTTACTTGTAATAGGTATCGACCAGAAATCTATGGCTAGTCTTACCAAGAATAAACGTAGGGCTTACTTCGCCTCTAAAGCTGTCATATTCAAAATTGGGAAGGTGCCGATTGGAAGGGCTGTTACAACAAGCCTCGAAAAGGTCACTAAAAAACCTAAGACCACAGCATCAGTAGCAACTACTGATAACGTTAAGGAGTCAAATCCTAAAAGCGAGGAAAGCACCACTAACTCTTGAAAAGAAGGTGCAGCTGCCCTTTCCAAAATTGGGGAGGCGCCGATTGAATGGGCTGTAAATGACGTACAACTGGAATCTATGGTCGATGACATGGGCAGGAGGCTGGAGGATATGGAGTAGACAATGAAACTCCTAATGGACTATCATTTCCCACCCGGTATTTCGAATAACATAGATGAACCGATTTTGGAGGAAGGGGAGGCTAACACGGAAATAGTTAATACATCTGATATGGTTAGAGGGGCAATCAAGAGCTTCGCTCCCTATAAAGCTGCAGGGCCGGATGGCATTTTCCCGGCACTCTTACAGATGAAGGCGGGACTGGTTTCCGTACATCTGTCTCAGATATTTACTGCATGCTTGAAATTCACATATACCCCCATTACATGGCAGGATGCAAGTGTAATATTTTTACCTAAACCAGAGAAACCTAGCTATGCGACACCTAAGTCTTATCGACCTATAAGTCTTACGTCCTTCCTACTTAAAACCTTGGAACGGATGGTCGATAGTATGGTTAAAAGCAGTATACCCGACAAAGACCTAAAATTAAAGTAGCATGCTTATTTAAAGGACGATCGGTGAAAACCGCTTTAAACGAAGTTCATAACTGGATCAACTACATGCTAAGGAACAGATGGATAAGCTGCGAGATGTACTACATTACTATTAGGAAAAAGGTATTTCGCGGTATACTACAGAGTGGCATTTTGTCACCTTTACTCTGGGTTACCACGATTAATAGCCTCCTAAGGACCCTAACTGAGAAAGGACTTAGACCTGTCTGCTATGCAGACGATGTTGTAATACTTTTAAAGGGAAAGGATCCAAATTACTTGTGTAGAAGAGCTGAGGAGGCTCTGAATACGGCCTTAAGCTGGGCTCAACCGAGAGTCCTCAATGTTAACCCGGCGAAGACAGAAATCTGCCTCTTCACAAGAAAGACAAAAATTTCTACCTGAACCTTGCTTCCTGGGCAATGAGATACCGGTGACAGACAAAGTTAAGTACTTAGGTGTAATTCTCGACCGGAAATTAAAATGTAGACACCACATAGAGGATAGGATCAACAAGGCACATCGGTGCTGGGTGATATATATAGGCTTGGAATGGGGTCTTAGTCCTACTATGACAAATTGGCTTTATAAAAGTGTAATTAGCCCAATTCTAGCTTGTTCTTCAATAATCTGGTGGACTGCTTTAGACAAAAAGTGCAAATCTACTACTGGGGTTCTATATTGAAGACCCAGAAACAGAAATATACCACCGTTTACCTAATCAGCAATAACGGAATATGTAAATTGGATTAGAATAAATATTGCGTCCACGGCCCTTAATATATTCACCGACAGCCAGAATGCAATTAGGGCGATATCAGGTGAGAGAATTAAATCTAAGACCGTATTGGATTGTAAGAAAACTTTAACTAAAGTAAGGTAAGGTTTACATCATACGGGTACGAGGACACTCGGGAGTAGTCGGCAACGAAAGGGCGAATGTAATAGCTTTATAGGGGAGGGAGCTCGATGTAGTTAACCTGATAAACGCAAAACCATAAGCTGAACTTAAAATATGGGTGAGGGAATCCCATAAGGCCTCTTGGAATAATGAACCACAAAGATCCTATGGGGTGACCCTGATGAGAACAAGACGAGAAATCTCCTCAAAATGAGCAAGTCTGAAGTTAGTTTGATGGTACGTATTCTGAGTGGACACACAGGATTACGAGCACATCTATGCAAAATTGGCCGTGCTGATTCAGACGATTGTAGACCATGAGGAGAGGACAGTGAAACTCTGGAGCACTTTCTTTGTCACTGTCAATCATTCGACGAAATTAAATCCATGTATCTTGGAAGTGATGTTATTCCGGAAATAACATTCCTGACTAACACTGATTGGAAAATTCTTAGGAATTACGTCCAAGAAACTGTTTCTGAGCACTGAAAAATATTATACCTAACCTAAACATAAAAACTCAATACACAACAACTAATGATCATTTGTAAGTCTTTGATACTTCTAAAGACACATAGGAAGGCATGTTGTAAACGATAATACGAGTAAATTTACATAGACAACTCAAAATACATCACTGCACATAAGTGTTGTCAATCATAATCGCAATTTACAACATCAAAATAACAATTGTTGTGAGCGAGAATCGGGGTATAATAAATTTTAACTCAATTTTCTGAGTAAGAAGGCAATGACCATCCGCCTATTGAGTTGAACACACCAGAAATTCTATCGGCATACAAACCCACGATATTGATATTGTAACTACAAAAAAAGGTGCATGCGCTTAAGTTTTATTTAACAATTAGGTTTTATTAAAAATTAAAATTATGCG